CTTGATCTTAGTTGAGATCTTCAAAATTCTTATAGATATCCCTGTACGGATAAAGAAAACAGAAAGAATATGCCTTCGCACAATAAAGTTTTCTTGATCTTAGTTGAGATCTTCAAAATTCTTATAGATATCCCTGTACGGATAAAGAAAACAGAAAGAATATGCCTTCGCACAATAAAGTTTTCTTGATCTTAGTTGAGATCTTCAAAATTCTTATAGATATCCCTCCCTGTACGGGCAAAGAAAACAGACAGAATATGCCTTCGCACAATAAAGTTTTCTTGATCTTAGTTGAGATCTTCAAAATTGTTTTAGATATCCCTCCCTGTACGGGCAAAGAAAACAGACAGAATATGCCTTCGCACAATAAAGTTTTCTTGATCTTAGTTGAGATCGTCAAAATTGTTTTAGATATCCCTCCCCCGATGGAACGATTCCGGAAAAACTGTAGTATGTTGTCCCAAGAAGTAATATTCCTCTCGTAATATTATAATACAAGCTAAATATTGAGTTTTACTACAAATATAGTGATGTGGGAAACATCTGCAGAGTCGATGTAGATTAGACTCTCTCTTTTTATATTTCATATAAAGATATCAAGAAAACGCCAACTGTGACTACCATATGCATCTGATATTATGTATTTAGTAGTAAGTGATGGAAATTATTTTTAAAACCACCAAGACAGACTTTTTCAATACCAAACAATCAAGCTTCAACTGACTAATAGGAAATACGGTATGCTATATGAAAAATAACCCAGGTATCAACAGTGAGGACTATATTTGAAAAGGAAAAATTCTATACTTCCCTTTGCTCGCATTTTTGGGCGTAAAATGAGAACCATTTAAAATAATAATTTTTTTACGCATTCGCATTTAAAACTTAATTTTATTATAAATACAAATGCGTGTATATAGTTATTTTCCTTTTTTTTCTTCTTGTTGTTTTGCTGAATTTCAAGCAAAGCCATTCGAGCGTTACCTGCGCTAACCGTTCCTAGTTTTGAAGTAATAGACTAGAAGGAAGGCAGCTAGTCAAAAACCACCCACCGCCAACTCTTGGGCTACACTTTACCAACGAATAGTAGGATTGACCATCACAATATAACGCTTCTATGGGTAAAAGGATACGAACCTTCAACCAGAAGGTTTCGAGTCGAGTGCCCTAGCCACCAGGTCATGCGAGGACTATTTTCAGGTGTTTATATGTACTAAGAATTATGACCAGTCACTGCGTTACAGGGTATTTTTAAATTTAGAAGTAATGCATGTTATTTATTTTGTGTGTGGATGATGTTTAAACACAAAGTTCTTATTCTCAAGCATTGAAAGTGTTTTCCGTTTTGTCTTAGCGCGCCCCCCAGTGGCACAGCGGTATGTGTGCGGATTTACAACGCTAGAAACCCGTGGTGGGCAGAGCACAGATAGCCCATTGTTTAGCTTTGTGCTTAGTTCCAAACAAGCAAATAAAATTGTCTTAGTGCTCATTTCATCTTGTTGTCGCGTACATTGTAGCATGTTACACATTTTCCCGTATTTAGTAGCAAATTCCACACCATAACCAGCTGAGAGCTACATTTCTCTCCCACACCTAGAGTACATCAAGAACTGTTAGGTAATATTCTACACTAGCTGGAGTACCCGTCCCCTGGACGGAAGTTATGTAAATTCCACACCATAACCAGCTCAGAGCAACATTTTTCTCCCACACCTAGAGTACATCAAGAACTGTTAGGTAATATTCTACAGTAGCTGGAGTACCCGTCCCCTGGACGGAAGTTATGTAAATTCCACACCATAACCAGCTCAGAGCAACATTTCTCTCCCACACCTAGAGTACATCAAGAACTGTTAGGTAATATTCTACACTAGCTGGAGTACCCGTCCCCTGGACGGAAGTTATGTAAATTCATGATTCATGAAAGGTTATCTTAGGACATGAAAAGTTGCTTCCCTTATACGCAATTGTAAGAAACGTCCAAATAAACTGCAATGCAAAACACAAAATGTGAAACCGTAAACTTGCATGTATCTCTGCCCGACCCAACAAACCTCCATACCAATTTTGGTGAATATCCATCCACACCCTGCGAATTAGTTACATGGGCAGATAACAGACAGTACTATTATATCTATATAGATAACTGACCTAGTTGGATTGATGAGAGCTTATATAATTCGACACTCGAGTCTTCAGGTGATCATGGTATGAGACTTGTAATCATCTTCTGTGTTTTGATTTTTATATAATGCTCTGAGCAAGTTGATGTCATATTGCATAAAGTTTTTCGATCCCATGGTTTACTGTGTGATGGCAGAAAATAATGTACTTCATATTTCCAATAGTCTTTGTTGTTGCTGAGAAAACTTCATTCCTTTTTTAAACTTTACACAGGTATAAGCATAAGGATGCCAGTTGAAATTTATTAATTAAGTATTTCATTCGCCAAAAACGTATCGTACACTTTAGTATCAAAAATTAATAACTTTTCTGTGTGCTTAACAAAGATAGTCCAATTAAGTTGCATTTTTCAACACTATTAAATATCCTGGTTACTTCTCGCTGTCCTTACATTCTTCGCCAACATAACAAAACTCTGTATAAACGTTCATTATTTGAGGATACCATTGTTAACTGGCGTCTTCTGGTACGCCTGCTGGTTTGAAAATCAATAAAATACATTGAATTCATTTACACTATTAATAACGTGAAATCAAAGCCGTATAGTTTATTATTTTTCAAAAAAAAAGTGTAATTTACGTTCGACGTTTGATTTGTTAAACTTAAATCTCACTTAAAAATTTTGAAATAATGGTGTAGTTAAATTTTATTTATTTATATTTAATAAAAATCATCATTATAATTAGCGAAATCCATCATTATTGACATTGGAACAATGTTTACGATGAGGTTGATGAAAACCATTGAACTATTGTAATCTTTATATACGATAGAAATTTCTCATTCGGAGAACTGGAGTAATTTTTCAAAACTGGTTACTCTGGTCAGAAAACGGGAAGTTGGTGCACAGCAACCCCGTATGTTTTTGGCGATGTCTTTGTACTAGTTTTTTTTTCTTCTGACGATTAAAGCATGCTCTCTTACGTTATGCTATATCTTAGTTGCCCTTACTCTTTTATATTTGTAACCAAAATTTATAAAAAATGAAAGCTGCACATCAAACAAATAATTTTGACACATCATTCATTTGTAAACCAATGGAAATTAGAGCCTAAAATTAGTCAAAATGTTATGGCACTAAAAGCAACATTTCTATCAAAGCACACCTAGAGAGTTTGGCACTAAAAGCATCCTTACTAGAGTTACAATGATAATTTAGAAGGTACGTCATTAAATGATAGGTTAATCTATTTACACAAACTAAGTACGATTATAATTTGGTGCAAGAATCAGTGAATATATTTTATACCTAAACGTGTACTTTTTTTTAACAGGCACACTATAGGCTCTGGTTGTAGCTTTTAGCCACATAATGCGTTGTAATCAACTGTGCCAACAACTTAGTTTGGTATTTTTTCACGAGTATTCAATGGATGAGGTAGAAGATACTGAGAAATTTTGTTCTGTATACTTAGAATTATTCAGCAGTAAATGAAGGGTTTGTAAGAGACATACCAGTGAGAAGTAAACCATTTACACGTGTGATTTATAGGTGGTTTGGTATGTTTTGAATTTCGCGCAAAGCAACACGAGGGCTATCTGCGCTAGCCGTCCCTAATTTAGCAGTGAAAGACGAGAGG